ACTTGTTATACCCTAAGGAAGAATAGGGAATTATAGAAGGAATACAACTATATAGAACCAGCTGTTCGTCGTGGAGAGTTACGAATAATAATAACATGAAACGAGCCAAGGGGATAAAGTGAGAATAAGAATAAGAATACACATAAGATATTAAAGAATCATTAATCTAAGAGGGAGGGAGCAACCATATTGGAGCCGATGACTATAATAAAATGTATATACGAATACAACTGAAATATTTGAGAAAATTATCTACTTCAAAAAACGGAAGAGGATATATGTAACACCATATAAATAAACCAGAAGCCAGTGGGCATATAAACATGAAGATCAAAGTGGAAATGCCTAGGAGGACAAGTAAATAATTAATACATACAGAAGACATAACACAGGAAGAGAGGATACAGGGAAGGATGCTCAAGAGATGAAGATTAGACACTAACCCCAAAGCATAGGACCCAGAAACACATTAGAGGTGACAAATAAGGAATAATGTGAGCAACAGATCTTTCCCTCTGACGAAATAGATATATGAAATCGGGGGTTTCATGTTTTCTAACATATAAACAAAGGAATAAGCACAGATAATATCTTGAATCTATGCTGAGTCCATGAAGTATAATAAGTCGTAAAGTAACTTCATTTTTGTGTCTATCTAAGACTATAGAGGATGCTATAACAGGTGTCTCCTTATTCACCACAGGGGGATGTAAGGTGATAAGTGATTTTCCTCACCCCTTTTATGCATAAGAAAGTATGAATACATAAGATGAATACCTTCCTCTAGTGACATAAAAACATGTCCTATAAAGGAGTCTTACACCACCATAGAGTTATGAGATTCTTCTGAAAAGTGAGAACAAGTCTATAAATACATGATCATTTTGGCAGTGATATGGTTTTCATATGAGTATTAAGTGTAATGATATATGGGCATATAAGCGATAATAGAAAAGTTCCCTCCCTTAAGAATGAGTCAAATAGTTTTATAAACATATTGTCTGTTATTCCCCGTGATTAATTAACCGGAATTTTCGAAAGAATTCGTGAGTTGTTTTGGGGATCATCCGAATAGGCAGGGGACTATTTATGTTTCGACAAATTATCATAATATACATTTACGCCCCAGGTGGCAAAGGAATAACTGTTTAAGTAGCTGGATACAGAATGTTGTGGCTTATATGATATTTTCTTTGCTATATAACATATCATGAAGGATGAAATAAGAGGAGCTGTCGTGACCTGCTAAGCAGTAAATAAGCAAAAGGATATAACATAACGTGGAGACATCATATAATGGTTAGGAATTTAGTGATAAGACATAGTGTATATTAAAAGAGAAACAAACAACAGGACAAGAACATGGAAAGGAAGAAGAGAAAGGAGCACTATGAAGTTTGCGCCATAATAAAGTAGATTAAGACGTACGCGCCCATGAATAGGGACAACCGGTGTGAACCAGAAGGAACAGTAGAAAAAACAGAAGAGCCAAGTAAGAACAGATATCAAGGACGAACACAAAGAAAAAATATGCACGCTGGAGAAGGTATACTGGGCCCTATGAACGAAGAACAAGTATGGAGATGAAAATAATAGAGGGATGTTTAAGATAATCAGTATATAATAATTAATGAAGAACTAAGAGAAAAAGAAAAGTCCACCAGAAGGAGACAGAAGGAAAAAAAAAACGAACGGAGCAGGAGGAAAATATCGGAATTTTTGGACGGGTATACCTCTGCAGGGATAAACCGTAGGAGAAATATACCATCAAATATTATGACTTACCGAAAGACTAAAACACCGGAACCAACAGAGTGCCCACCCCACCGAAGGCACCAAAGAGGCAAACAGCGATAAATCCTACAAATTTAGACATGGGCGAAGATGCAGATATCCTTACGGGCGATCATGCAGGCAACGAGGAATACAATACCCTAATTAGCATTGTATATTATTAGAGGAATAAGAAAAGGAAAGAAGGGACCACCCAGTAGCAATGCAATACAGCTAAGGGTAATACTGGTATATATGGGACAGGGAAGTAGGGCGAAGTAAACCCTTGGAGGTGTGGAATGAGTACCAGTAAGTATATATAAAGGGGCAAGTTAACAGAAGTTCAATAGAGAGTATATGAAATCCTTATCCCAGATAGGATTAGGAAAAGAGAGTACCAGATCATAAAAGAACAGACCCTGATGGCGTTCACACACGAGGACGCGCAAATGGCTATTATCGGATGAAATAAGGCTGTATGTATACAATAGAGAAGTAGGGAATAGCCCAAAAGGAGTAATTCATAGAAGTGGGGAAGGAAAAGCAAGACTTATAGTATAAAGGAACAGCAAATGACGAAGAAACATACAATACCACCAATAACGGAAGGAATACCGAAGGAACACAAAGGAGAAGAAGTGAAGTAAAAGTAGCCGCCAGACCTGCCAAGTGGCAGAAGTAGCTGTAAGAATCAAGGGGCAACTAGATGATAACCTTATTAATGGAAACGAGGATTCCGTAAGGGAGTGTAGTACAACAAGCAACTAAAGTCACAAAAGGTCAAAGTGACTCAGAAACAGGAAACGGAAGATTCCAAAATCTGGGAGAAATAGTTCCGAGGCCGTAATAAATTACAATTCCATCCCACACGGATAGAGAAATTGGCAACACTGGAATCAATAAGGAGATCTCAACTGATTGGAGAAATTGAGTGCAGCTCAACCGCAACAAGGGCAAGTATGCAACAGATCTGGATATGAACCACGAAAGGCCAAATACTAAGCTGAACCATATAAAAAGAGACTAAGGAACCGTAAAGGAAGTCTAACGACACAGAGAAGCTCACCTGCAAGAGATTAGGAAGATTAATGCCTGAACGCCACGTGCAAAAGTACCAAAAATAGGGAACAGATGAAGAACAGCCCCCCCCAAAAATAGTACCAGAAGGTGGAGCAGGTAACCTCAGCTATAGAAAAACCTGACTGACGGGTGAAGTGGTCACCAAGATAGAGTAAAGCAACAGCTCTCGCCGAAACAAACCCAGGGGTTAAAAAACCCAAATCCCAGGAACCCAATCGAAGAACAACAGGAACCCACCAGAACGACTAGGTTAAGTGCTTAACAAGATACAGAAAGAACAGCGGAGTCTAGTGCACCATACAGGAGAGGGTACATAACCAAGCACTATAAACCACCAAGCACGCCTGACAATAACGAGAAAAATAAAATCCAAGAGAACCAAGAAGGGAATAACACGGGGAGAAGACTATAAACAAGCCCAACCAGATAAGAATCTCGTAAGGACAAAAGGCATCCAACACTCCCAAAGGAATACCCGTGTATAAAGGGAGAGAGGTCAACCAGTACCACAAAGAATAATGAGGAGAAGTCAAGCGGCGGAGCAGTATAGGGAAAGAGGAAAGAACAGTAAACCCCGAGAAAAGACAAAGGGAAATACGACTAAAGAATCATAGCAGCGAGCCAAAACACTTAAAAGAAAAAGGAAATTGTATCACAACCGGGAACTCGACAAAGGGGTAACAAGATAACCAAAGTGCTAAAAAACAAAATAAGGAAGAAACATCATGTCCCACAGCCCCAGATCATACGGATAGAAACCAGACAACACCAGGCCGGGAAATAATCTGGATTCTTCCATGCATAAACTCAGGAAAGGATACCAACAAGGGCATGGGTAACTCAAAGCCAAACACAAGTAGAAGAATCTCCCAAAACTCAGCGCAGGAACCCGTTGTATAACGTTAGGAGTATATGAGCAAACAGTATACAACCCCAGAACAGTAGGCGCAGGAAAATTAATCGAAGAGGTATGTCACCAGCAACTGAGGCACTCAAAATCCGAAGGTGTCCGCACCTAAGACGAAAAAGTATCAGAACGAAAGAAACTCGTCAAATGAAAAGCAGGAATTTCACACCGACCGAGGGTAATATAAGAAGGACGGACCCCAAAAAAAACAACCGAAGTAGAAAAATATATGCAAAGAACAGGCTCACAGATAGAAGGGAGAAAAACAAGAGGAAAAATTAGTTCCGGAAAGATGTGAATGAACAAAGAACCTCGTACAGTCATAAGCACAATAAGAGGAACAAATGTCAACCAGAAAAAGTTGGCGCCAAAAAAGTATAGGGAAAAGTTCTTCCTCCAAAGGAAACGGGCAGCTCAGACACAGCTGAGAGTTTCCTAGAAAGTACAGATAATAGACTTAGAGACAAACCACAAATAACAGAAGTTAGAAGAATAAGCAAAGCCCAGACACCCAGGCAGAATGGAGCCGTAACTCCACTGTGGAAGTTAACTGTATAGAACATGTCAACTCCCACTCCTAAAAGCCGAAGAATAACCTAAAATACCAGCCCATAAAAGTCATACAGGAGAGGCCTACATATTACTGATACAGAGGCAACTATAAAAAGGAACAACGGAAGGGGGACATATCCAACAGTCAAGCAGAAATACAAGCCGAATAGTTAGGGACAGAGATCGAAACCGCCCCCTTGAAAACGAAAGGAAGCAGGCCAAGCCTCGAAGGGGAATCCCCCCCGGACGGGGGGGAAAGGGAAGCAAGGAAGCAAGATAAATGAAATTCAACTAGGAACCCCAACTAAAAGGAAACAATCCAGGACACAACACTCGTGGAAGATGAATCTGGAACAATTACCACAAACAAGTAATCACAACAAATGAATATGTAAGCACTGGAGAGAACCCACGTTCAAGGAACAGGAAAGTAATTACATCGGAGGGAACTATCAAAATAGACATCAATTACGCAGTGGGAAAATCAACAAGAGGCGCCTTCCTAGGCCAGAAACTAGCAACAGGAGGAGACGAGCAAGGAGGGATAAGGAAAGAAGACAGCAATAGGACAGGGCTGGACACAACAACGAAAGAAGGACAACTATCAATTCTATGGACAATAGTCGGGAAGTAATAGACATCAGCAGAACAAACAGAAAGCAGACCGAACATAAGGCGGGGTTAGAGAATGAAAAACCAAAGAAGAAACACAGGCTCCTTAGGGCCCGGGCCTAGGGCAAGAAACCTCCCCAACCGAAACCACCCAAGAAGGGATAACCCACAAAGAGTAAGCGTGGGGAGTCCCCGACTGACAGAGACAGTAGAAGATACAATCAGAATAAAAGCCGGGTCACGTGAAGTTGTAAGAACCAAGACACCGGAAAAGGAGGATTTATCTATGAAGGTCTAGACAGGCGAAGAACATCGAATAAGAAACAAATCTAGGACCAAACGGGGATATACCGAGACCCCTCCCCAGACGAATAATCATCAGAGGCAAAATTCCCAAGAAGGAAGACTTCAGAAAGGCAGCCGAAGGAAATCTAAATATAAAAGTGACCAAAGGAGTCAGATCAGACGAGTTAGGACAAACGATGAGGGAAAAGCGCCAAGCCTGAAAGGATGATATGACACACCAAGAAACGAGACCGAATGTTTCTGCAACCCACAAGAGATCTATAGACGGAAAAGGCACCCAAGAAAGTCGAATCAAGGAAGAGGAAAAATTGGTCTCCACTGAGACACGGCAGCCACCGAAGCAAAAGTCAGATAAATCCGGCGAATTATCTGACCCCCTTACGAAATAGGAACAGGAAGAGAAGAAGTAGGAGCTAAATTCCTTGCAGAGGGTGTAACTCTGAAATCAAACGGAAAATCAAGAAAGGGATTTTCCCAGCGACAAGTGAAGCAGAAAAGGCCAACCACTAAGAGGAAAGGAGAAGAAAACACACAAGGAACTTGTAGAAAAGGCCCATAAGAAGCAATATGAAAAAGGAAAAACACGTTATAAACACAAAGATTCCCCAGAAATAATGCCCACGGAAAAACAAGTCTTGGGGACAAGTCACAAACCCCCTAAAGAAGGGAGCCCGCAAATGAGAACCAAAGAGAAATAGTAATCAGGGCAGGAACGGAGACCTCTGCCCTTGAAAAAATTTGCCCAAAAAGGAAAAGGAACGAGAAAAAGGAACGAATAAAAGAGAAAACCACTAGAACAAACAAAAAACACAGAACCAAGCTCAAGACCAGTAAAAACAGGCGGCTCACATCCGAAGATAAGGGGGAGACAATAAATAAAGAGGAATCTGAATATTGATTAGGGGACCCCTCAGAGGAATCAACCCAAGCAGCAGAGTTGCGGAGCTAGCGGACGAGGAAATGAAAACTTCCGAACCCCCCAGTGAAGCAATAAATATCCCCCAAATAGTCAATTTAAGAAATCGAGGAATGATATAAGAACAGACTCAAACTGGCCCAAAGAAGGGGGCCGAACCAGAGACACAACCGGCAAGTCCAAGGAGGGGACAGTGAAGCAGGCCATACCAGATTCCACCACCACCCCCAAGTAAAGAGAGGGGTAAGATAAATCAGACGACTGAAAAGGAAGCCATCCCAAGCCTCAAATGGGGAATAGATATATAATATCTAATAAGGAAAGAAACTCCAAAGGCCAAGATAGGCACTCCTAATCCGAGATAAGAGCTCAGGGGAGAAACTACGTATTAAGAAACTCAGGAGGGAAAAGGGGCAGAACCGGGGTGCAGAGCCCCCAGAACGACAACCCCGAACCGCAAAACGAGCAACAAGAAACAATTGCCAAAGGAAGAAAGCGGAAGGACAAAAGAAAAGAGCCCAAGGTGACATAAGGACGGCAAGGTCCACTCTGACCTAAGGAGGCGAACGGGACAACATCGTAGTAAGGGGGATTACCAATAGCCAGGACTTCACACAGGGAAAATTCCTCGACGCAGAAGGAAGGAATCCCCAAAGCAGAAATCCAAGCCGAAGCCACAGCCCCAAAACCTGAGGACGTAGAGGGGTAAACACGGGTAAGGAGGAAGGGGCAGGGAAATACCGAACAGGAATCATCAATAGACAACCAGGGGATAACAGGCGTAGAGACGAACCAAAGCAGGAGTAGGAACAACAGAACGAAGAAGAATCGCGCAGGGGAAGAAACGGGAGCCGGACAATACATGATAATTCATGAACAGACGAAGAGCCACTGACTCGATGCAGACAGGGGGCAGGAAGGAGCAGGAGAGGAACTCCTCGGGCACAGAAATAGGGACTCCAACCATACAAGAGCTCTGTAACCTGCGAGAAACCCACAATCAGGAGGAAGCAAAAATTAAGTAGGGCGAGAACAAGCAAGACAAGTAAACGACAACTCCAATACTCGAGGCAACAGGGAAAGCCGAACAAGGCGATTGCGCCCAGGGACGCCAGATAAGGACGTCGAGAACATTAATGAAACACAAGAGGGGGAGAAGAGGCTCAAAACCACCACACCTGACCGGTATGAAATAATCAACCAATGGCGAGAAATTCGGGGCCAGAACCAGAGGAAACTCAAGAAACAAGCGAGGATTAAGGAGGCGGGGAGTGCCATGTTCAACCCGATGACCAAACCAGGCAGAGACGAAGAATAAGGAAGGATAAGGAAAAAGGGAACTCAGAGGGCAAGTGACTGAGAAATAGGAAGGACGGAACCAGAAAAGAAGAAAAACGGAGGGACAAAAAACAAAAGGCAAAAACAGGAGGGACCAACTCCTCCCAATAAACAAGGGATCGATGGAGTCACCGTTGTGAAGGAAAAGTAAAGGAGGGGAAAGAAGAGGAGAAGGGAGATGCAGTGTTTATTATCACCGAGGGCAACGGAAGCCAGAGACGAACCAGGGGGGACAAAACTTGCACAACGGGAAGTCCAACTAGACCGTAAGGGGGAGACAGGTGAAGAAAAGGAGAACCACATATTCCGGGAGGTGAATGGTCAAACCACCGAGGATCCCCCACGCAGCCCGCCAACAAAGAACAGCCCGGAGCTCAAGGACACCCAAGATGGGAGGAAAAGAACACAGGGACAACATCCATTCACTAGTCCCACCTACGAAGATATAAACGTCAACTAACGTACACAGAACAAGTAAGGATTCATCTAAGCCAGGGCAGAAGACAAAAACATCAGAGGGCGGGTTCCGTCCCAGAACGCCCGCAATACGGGACAAAATCCAGCAGCGGGCAACCTCCGGTGCCACAGTATGAAGTTATCAAACCAGGAAAAATAGTTGACCACTAGAAGCCGGTGAAGCTCCAAGGATCCAGGCGAAGTATCAAGAGAGTATATGAGGAGGCACAGAGGGTATTAGAGAGACCCCAAATAACAACCACATGAGCAGAGAGGGGAACTCCCGAATAGGAGGTAAGAGAGAGAGAGGACAAGTTTCGCAGTCAGAAGGGACGAGTCGAGACATAGAGGCCCATGCGGGGGAATGAGAGAGGGAAAGCCAGGGAGGAACCCCCGATGAGGAGGGCAGGAGAAAAAAGAGGAAAAGGAGAGGACAAGGAGCAGAGGGCCTCCGGAACGAGAGCCTATAAACCCTCAAAAGAAAAGCGGAGAAGAGGAGGTACGGATGCAAAGATCTAAGGGGCAGGGGGATTATATCGAGCTAGAAACAAAGAACCCAGAGGAAGGACAAAAGGGAAAAGTGAACCACAGAAGAAACCGTACAGTAAAGAGGAACAGGTACCCAAGAAGAAGGCGAAAAGGGACCCCCCAGAGATGAGCGGGTTCAAGTTTGAGCAATACATACAGGAACTATGGGACCGAGCCAGGTGCCAAGAGCCCGACAACAGGGATAAGCATGAGGAATGGGGCATCTGTCGTCTAGCAGGAACAAGAGCAAGGAATAGGAGGCCAATAACAAATGACCAAAAAATATGCAAAGAGATGAACAATTACCAACCCACATGGGGCGAAAGAGTAAGAAGTATAATGCTATGCAAGGCCCTAGAAGTATGGATGAGCCAATTGAGGCAAGAACCAGGGAACAAAGTCGTATGGCACGAACACAAGTGTAAACCGGAGGAGACAGGATGCATACAAGGACTGAGGGACCAAATAAAATGTCCCATGCATCCAGAAGAGGAGAAGTGGAGTCAACTATATAGTTGGAGTGAACTATTCAGCCAGAACCCATACGAACGGAATCTTAGGATATGCATGGATATAATGACAATTTTACTGAGGGTATTCAGCCGTGCCGCATATAAAAAGGAAAGCTGGCTTGATGGCGAGCACAAGGACCTGTGCCAACAGATCTATAAATTCCTAAAAAACTGGGCAGGCGACCGAGTGGCTCAGAAGATTATGGACGAGTGGTTTACCCCAAGCATGAAATCTAGCCCTAACAACAAATTTCCTGTCCGAGGAACAACAACAGTGGACACTATATGGGCCCCATTTTTCTGGCAAATACAGAGTCTAATAACAAGCGTACAATGTAGGTGGGAACAAGAACAACAAGAGTATCGAACAGTTTGCCCCCACCTAGATACTCAGGGATGTGATTTAACAGAGGAAGAGGAGGACGAAACGAAGAAGGAAAAGGTAAGAGAACAGGCGCCCCAGGAAAAATTCTACAGGCCAACAAATTCCGCAAAAGGAACGCGGAACATATAGCAGGAGGCAACCCCCAAACAAGGAAGAGTCAGGGGGAGAGTGAGGGCTACTGGATGAGCGAACCACAGAGGAATGGATCATTTCGTCTAACGTCAAAATGTCTTTCTGAATGTGTAGAAGCTACAGGACAGGAGGGAGCAATTAAACAGGACACCAGAAAAGAACAAGATCAAAAACTTAGAGCAAAAGGAGAGGGAACAGGCCAAGATGATCAGAGGTATACGAGAAGAGACAGGACTAAGTATAGGGAAGATATTTGGGGGTCTGATTCCTTTGACAGTCCTTCTAGGAACCAGCGTGTATGTCTATAGGAGGGTCTTCAGGAAAACTCCCCAGACAGAAAGAAGTCAAAGAATGAACAGCGCCCAGCGGGCTAAAATAGCTGCAGAACTCCAACAGAAGTTACGGACAATAAAATACCAGAGCCTCTAGTGAGGGAAGGCGGTGTAATAGGCCCCCCCGAACGAAAACTCCCCCAGTCACAGAAGAACCGGGGGAATATGGCAACTGAGCAGCAGTAAATTAGGTAGCCTAAACTAGAGCAAAAATAGGGGAATAAAAAAAATACACCTAGCCACTTATTCCGCAGGAGCTACACAAGAGTCGATAGAAGCACCAACCAGAACAGGAGGGAGAACGGGGCAATCAGGACCCAACGACTCAAACGGGCCCACCAAATAACAGAGAGGATCCACATCAGAACCCCAAAAAGAGAAGGTAGTCTCCCCGCTACGGACGGTCAGAGGCGATTAACCAGGAGAAGGGCCAAGACCGACAGTGAGACACAGCCCTCCCGATGATATGGTTGGGGTAATGACTCCTCCTGTGACCAAGAGGAGAAACTCGGTCAGCACGAGGCGATGTGCGAGTTGAAGCAAGAAATTCTTGACTGAACTAGCTGCGACGGAATATTCGAATCCGAGTGGACACAAATGACGCGGAACAATGACACGGGGTTTCCGGAGCAGCGGTGGGGGCTTACTTTTCAATGGGGAGGAAGAGGATGGCAGTATAGCGTGGAGGGCTGAGAATGTGGGGGTTGAATCCCCCCCACTGAAGCCACCGCTGCGCGGATGATGGCCCGCCCGGGAGTAGAGGATATGCGCTTGGCCAAGATTCTGAAGGAGTAAAGTAACGGCCGATGAGGTGGGACGGATTTCGTGGGGGAGTGTCAGGTATAAGGCGGGAGCATATAGAGTCAGGGGGGGAATCTGGGGCACTAGTTGTCCAGAGTTTGAGATTCAGGGTTTAGGGTTTAGGCTTCAGGTTTATTTCTTTAGCGCTTAGGTTTCGGGTTTCGGCTTCAGTTTCTAGGGTTCAGGGTTTCGGTTTAGGGGTGATGGTCTGTGGTTCATGTCTAGGGTCTATGTTTTAGGGTTTAACGTTGTGGTACAGGATTCAGGGTTAGCTTCCACGGTTTAGGGTTCATGTTTAGGTTCACGTTTCATGGTTTAGTGTTATGTCTAAGCTTTAGCTTCCAGTTTCTGGTTTAGGCTCCAGGGTTTCCGGTTTAGCATCCACATTCTGCGTTTAGGGCTTAGGGCCCATGTTATATCATTACTGTTTACGTCGTGGGGTCTTGATTTAGAGCTTATGGTCCAGGCTCCGCGGGGTGTCTTTAGTTTCATGATTCAGCTTCAGGGTTCAGGAATCAGTCTGTAGGGTCCAGGTTTAGACTTTAGTGTTCAGATTTTTGGTTTGAGTTTCAGGGTCTATGAACTATGCTCTATCTTTCAGGTCAGAGGCGGTCAGGTTTAGAGTCTGCCATTTAGGGTTCAGTCGACAGGGCTTCAGTGGACAGTGTTTCAGATTTTAGTCTTTTGAGATTGGTGCTTAAGGGTTTCGGCTCAGAATTTTAGGGTTTAGCTTTTAGTGTTTAGCTTCCAGGATTTAGGGCTTATTGTCTAGTTTTCTGCATTTAGGCCTGATGGTGTGCCCCTATGTCTTATGTTTAGGGTTCAGATCCGATTTAGCGTTTACCTCTAGGATTTGGCGGTTAAGCCTTAGGGTCCATCATCTGTGTTTTAATTCTTAGTCCTAAGCCCCTGGCCTTGAGATCCCTCTGTTCTTCGGGGAGTTTGTAGGCCCTACGGTCCATGATCTACTCTTAAGTTCCCCGGCATTAAGTTTCACTTCCCATCTTGTAGGTTGCCGGGGTTACTATTCCTTTTTCACGCTGTAGGATCCTGCCCTTACTTCCCCCTGGTTATTTTTCCTGCGTCCGATTCCCAGGGGTATGGAGTCCTCCTTAGTTAATTCTCAGGAGGGATGTTATTGGGCGGCGTGAAATGTCTTATATAACTTGGGGATTTAATCCCAATCTAAAAAATAACTAACAATACCTTAAGCCTCAGAGATGGGAAATGCACAATGCCATGCATATCCCAATCATTGAAGAGGAAGTTATCGACTTCTTAGACGAAATCATAATTAGAGTTTGTTAATATCCCACATAATATCTGTAATATCTAAAAAAATGATTAGATAAAGGGATTACCTAAGTTTCCTATAATTCCTCTTGGATTGTCTCTTAAATAACCACGGAAAACCTTAGGGATTATTGGAATACAACTATATACACTTTGGCCTGTATCACTCCCTTGGATGATAGAGAGAGATTTCTTACGTCTTTTCTCTACAATGCCTGGGATGTTGTAGGGATGACTATTTTCTCTTCTATTCAGTAGGACTATGTCGTAAACCACCTGTAGCTAATAGAATACCCTGACCCTCTATGAAATATCATCTATACATAAAGGACCCGTCTGCTCGACCTCTTCGTGTATTCGTTCCTTCTACCTCAGTTTGCTTCAAGCGTGTGGTTTCCTTAGGAGAAAATTGTTCCTGCACCATTAATTCTGCGCACCGGAGGATTTTTACATAAGTGGTAGATGAATATCCAACATGATTACTCCATAAGGACAGGGATTTTAGATACAGTTCTTGCTATAGTCCGTATAAACATACCTCCTTGGCAGATAAAGGAATATTGTACCGCTTTTGCTTTTATCCCTCTTGCACATAGGGCTTTATATATATTAAATATAGGTATATATATATGGAAACCCCCCTTCTGCCGTTAATTTTCCTCTACTGAGAGCAGTTGACTTGGGACATGGCATGTTGTAAGAAGCCTACTATTACCTGTCTTGTTATGGAATCGTTCTTCTCTGACGGTTTGCATAGCTACCTGATTTGTTGTTTCCGATATTCACCACTGACTGAAGGAATGGATTAAGGCCTCTACATAACATGAAGGGGAGATGTGTCATATCAGGAAACTGCTATGCACATCATAATATTAATTTTCCTTCATTGAGCAAAGCCAGGGGCGCAAGACAAATGAATCTTGTAAATAAAAATATCCAAGGATCCTATATGCCCCCTTTCTCCTGTGAGGCAAAGGAAAGAAAAAAAAAATATAACGCCCAGATAGGCTCCATTAAGAGATAAATTTGCATTCACTGTACTAATTAATGTATTTTCGAGGAGGACCCAAAAGGAATAAGTGTTCAATCTGCAATATGTTGTGATACAAGGATGCTTCAAGGAATGATGCGGCCGAATGGGTTATATAGTGAGAATTACAGTCGCATACACGATGTGCAGAGTGGCAAATTTGAAGTACAGTATCTGCCACTTCCTTGCCCATTCTCTTGGAACAGATATCCGCAAACGGTTTACCTCTTCTTTTTTAATATCTTCCCTGATCTCCCTATTCATAAGTAGGATGTCCTCTCCAAGTTCAGAGAACTCCTGTATTTTCATGTCTCAACTCAATCTGAGGGCCGGCGTTATATAGTAATCACCTTTCGAGTTCTGCACCAGTATTCCCTAATATCTCTTTCTTAATTGATGATAAAATCCTTGGGCTTTCAGCTTCCTTAGAGTTACAAACATAGGGGACCCTGCCATTTTTTTATGAGGTCAACTTAATTCATAGGACACGCTACAGGGACATGTTTTTTGTCGGATATGAAATCATTCCTGAGTATATATGTTAACTACTTCTCTAAGGAAGAGCCAGAGTCCCAATAATAAAAATATCAAGGGATAACACGGCCGCTTCTTAGGTGTCGTGCAAAAGATCGCGGTCTGTTTGGTGTAATGCCAGTAAAAATGATTGGAAAGAAACGCATACGAATGAAATCAGAAGTATCCGGAATAAATTATAATGATGTAACAGATATTTATGGAGCCATATGAGAATCATTCACGATTATATATCGTTGTATTAATGCATCCAATGTGAGAATGCTCATAATACGAGTTTGCTCCGCCGTTGTCTTCCTCCTTCGTTTTACCAAAGAGTACGAAAAACACAAGACAGCAAGAAGGGAAAGTAACAGTGTCGAGGGGCCAAAAAGGAATTAAAACATCGTTCCTGATGTCAGCAAAACAGAGATTAAAAAGGAAGTCACCTGTTGTTCTTAATATCAGCATAGAAAGAAAAGATAAAATATGTGGGGACTTAACAGCAGAGAGCCTGATCGGAAGTGAAAACAGAAACAGAGCGTGTGATACAGATGGGAGGGGGCATATAATAATTCCACTTATAACCCCTCATAGAAATCCTTCCTGAATTCTCCTGATCCGTACTTTTATAAACACCAGAACTCTCCCCTTTAGAAGTTAATAGAATGCGACCTGTGATTTTCCCCTTTGGGAGACATAAAACATACTCCTGATCAGCTTGAGGAAAGTAGATCCCAGAGAGGAGAAAGAGACATCTGTCGTCATGACACGAATAAATTATATAGCCATCTTAGCTTGGTATACCAGACTCTGATTCCAGGAGATGTATTGAGGTTAAGTAATGAGGCATCCATATAGCTATATAGGTTTGCAGCATTCCGGAGCTACCCAGGACCCCCACAACATGGGGGCTCCTTACTTCTAATTCTATATACAACAGGAATCGCTCTATAACAACCCTATTAAAGTGAAACTAAGAGTAGGGGCTTACTCAGGGCAAGATACCATGTTACAATACGACACACAGTGGAAATGTGATATAAATAACACGATTAAAAAAAAGAGGGGACTAATTGTTCAATTCATGAAGGGGTTTTGGGAGTTACCATCCTCCTTCAACAATGGAGTCGCCCCGCTATTATTACAACATAGCAGTGAATAATAATCAGTCATTGTTTTGGAACAAGTTGCTGAGATCTTGTCTCACAGGGATTTCTTCACGCGTTATATACAATCCTTAAAATGAAGCTTACTCATACCGTTGAATGTCTGTCGATATTCGGATACTTTCAGAAGCACATAAAGATATTCTATGACACCTAAAGCAAAGAGTCCATAAGATACAGAAGGGACAACTATCAATGGGATGCCTACTAATAACGGTAATACTTCCAGTGTATATGCAACCAGCATCCGTAAAAGGAGCATCAGACGATATACTTCAATCCCCAGTAACCAGTACTCACTCCTCCTAATATGGGGATGCTGTTTACCCCTCTGTACAGAATTGTATGCTTTATATGATAAGGAGGATGCGGGACCATGTAGAATTGTTCGACAAGTATGTATTATTTCTGCCGCTGTACTCTTAGGTATTGGATGGCACACCGAATTGATGACGACGTGGTATTGCTTGAGGAGTATAGTACGAATTCCCGTGAATGCGTGCTGATGATTCCGGATTTTCAGTATTGCGATATTTCCTAAGATTCTTCCCTTGAGCTGTTGATGTACTGTATGGATTTTCCCCATTTCCCCTTTGAGATTGAGGAGATATTTTGTTTGACGTTTTACTTTGGTTCTAAATGTTCTATTTCTCATTGATAAAGTTTCTTGGACAGCCACACCTAATTCTCTTTGATATTCTATGATAATGCTGATTCGGGTAGTTAGAACCCTCTGTCCTATGTATCTAATCCTTTGAAGAATCCGTTGCAAAATATCGATATTATGTGTAATCATAACGATATGTATGTTTCGTATGTTGTGTATAAAAGAATTACGCGGCTTCCGATCCCCTGATAATCCTGCTTTTGAGCTTTCACACATTATTGCTTCATTATTTGTGAGTTCTTGTATAGTATGCCCCTGCCAGTGCCTATCTAAAATATTCCTAGTAGGTGTGATACTTCGGTTCTCAAAATCCTCTAACAAAGACTCTTTACAGGAACTGTTAATATTGCCTTTATTTTTCAGGATATACTTATAATCCCTTTTCGAGAGGAGATTCTGAAGCATAGACTAATTCCAAGTGTTTTTGAACATGTGTCAATAATAGCCAAGTATTCCTGAGGCGCACAATTCCAGTAGTGTTATTGGTGGTTGTTATATGTCTATGGCCTGATCCCTCTAAGGACAAATTATGAGCAGGATTATCGTACATCCTGGAAGACGATGTTTTCCTGTTTTATAAGTATGATAAAGTCTTTCCTTCCATAATGAGGAGTGAATAACTTTTCTCTATTGATAGGGAACATCTGATACTTACCATGCCCTTATCGTACACAAAGCATAATAATACATAGGTTATCCTAGATATTCCTTCCAAAATTCGGAATTCGATTATTCGATTCTTGCTTTAATTTCTCTCTGCTTCATGTCATGTTTCTCATCACATTATTCCATAGGGTATATGCCCATATCCCTATATGTCCTTCTCCATTTATATCTATACCAGCATGTCTGGATCTATTCATATATGAAGACTTATAAAGATACATGCCTGGTCCCTTATAAGTATAGGGACTTATATATTCATATGGATTCATAATTATCGACATAGGACTGCACAGGAAAAGAAAGGAAGAACTTCGAGGTTTTTATCGCTTGTAGCATTTTGAAATACTGAGTTTATGTTGGCGAATAGATTCCTCCCTTGGGTTTTATTTCTAACTTGTGTTTCATCTATATATAGACTGGGGGATATAGGAGCTCATCACAGTCATGTATCTGATGCGTACCCTACAGAGAGAGGAGTGAGGGGTTCCCACAAAGAAGGACGATCCTCAGCATCAGACTCTGTTATACTCTTTCGGTTAATGATAATAACAGGCCCTAATTTATGAGTCACTTCTATTTAATATTAATATTATGATATAGGTGATGGCGGAGAATATATTTTTAATAGACGAATCGAGGAGAGAATAATTAAGATTCATGACATGTTGGGATTGCTATTCGGCGACTGTTCGTACGAGTTATCCACAATGGCTTCTATCAATACCATTGAGGATGAGCAATATTCTCAAGAATGTTAAAGAACAATTCACAAGTCGTTACAGGAGCTTACACTGATATTGGCGCAGTATTATGATAGAAATCCTAAAAGAAGGAAGAATGCGGATAAATATCATAGGCATCCCTTGCAACTTATGATTACGCACTCTTTGATTTATAATTGACGATGTATCAGGAAATGAGTTCAAGGGGCAATTATTCTTTTAGTACTCGGAATCAGTAATCCTCTTATATTCGACGTATCGTTGAAATGAGAATCCATATTGTAAACACTTATGTTGATATATACCATTGTATATATATATTATGGAATAGCTACTTGTGGTTTAATATTTCATCAAGCGTGGCTTCACTATGATTTTTATGAATGAGGTATAGGCTGCAATTCGAAATAGTTATATAACAGGATATCAGGATGGGGCCAATATCTTATCAAGGACATTTCATCTAAGGAAGGGTCATGTATTGTATTGGATTCTGTTATGGCCATCTGTTTCTTCCTTGGTATCTTATTTTTTCCTCCTTTTGCAGAACATAATTAAAGGATATTTGCCGATACTCCTCCTTTTTGGAGGACTTCTTATGTGTTGTCGGGTACATTAATCCTATTATAGATTTTACAATAATATAGATTACCCCAGATGAGGAATATGCTGTATCCGTTTTCGAAAACATCAATCCCCTGTCAGTTGTTTCACAATGAGGTAAACACTCCGCAAGCTGATACTTGTATACTCCTATTAAGATTGAGGATGTGTTAATCGTGAAGTTTACTGCTGCTACTTTTGCCTTTTTCCTCCTTCTTCCTTCCCTTTCTTTGCCGTTTCGTTCTTACTTTCTTTATGTCTCGTCTGTAATATACTATCATTATTTTCTTCTATATCTTTATAATGTCCAGGTCCATATTTTACACACATAGGTAATGCACTATAATTAAGTGGTGTACACTTCTCATATTAATTATTTCTCTGAAAATAATTTGTCAGGATCTATTTAATTATACGGCACACATGTTATGATTCCTTGCACCACAGTGCAATATTGACATTGTTCTGTTTCTTTTCCTGATTTCATCCTCGTGATAGTACGTAACTTCTCTGACCCCTATATAATCAACCGTATTTATCATAGCTTTCCTATTTCATAACTCAGTAAACGTTGGCCAATACACACTAATATATAACGGTCTTCTATAGCTTATGTCCCAGAAATCTTATATTATCTTTCAGAATGTGTAATTATTACAATTCACATTGTTATTTATTTCGATTCAGGGACTTTATTTAAAATTGATTCCTTTTCTTATTAGTATATAACATATGCATTAAAATGCAGAACTATCAGATTAAAATTGCAATACAATGCGTACCTCTTCCTAATGGTGCATACTCTATTAGCTATATTTCTCTAAAAAATATGATATTGACATGAATGAATCCGATTTTGTCATAAAAAATAATTATGCACTGGTCTATTTAATTATCACTTGTACAATACGCTCACATGTGTTGCACACTTCCCCTGTAACTCCACTGAATTATTCATTCCTGCAGAAGCCCCTTCGCAATTTTACTGAATTATTTATTTCTGTAAAATGGTCCGTGTAATTCTAGTTTATCATTTATTCCTGCACATTTCTGTCTGTAGTTGTACTGTTTTATTTATCTTTCCATCACAACCTTCGTAAGTGCATCGAATCAGTTATTCCTCCACAATAGTCCGCGTAATTGCATTGAGCTATCCATTCTTGCAATGACTCTCCTGTAACCGCATACAACGATCGATATTCCTGCAGCATCTGCTGTTATTCAAGCTGTGAGCTCCCCAAAGGATTTCCGATTTTTAAAAAATACACACAGAAAAATCACGACGTTACTATCGAAGAACACAGAACAAGAAAAAAAAAACTACGAAGCCACAAGAAAAATAACCTAAAAATCAGTGACAGACGCATTTGAATAGGATTTCATTGTAAACTCTATCCAATGGACAAAATGAATATTACATTCTAAAGAGGCGCATTGTTACGGTGTATAAAACATGTTCGGGGACATCAAGGTGTCCCAACCACCTTATCGCAATTACTCAGAATATAGATAATTTTGGGATGTACTTAATGATAATTCTATAATCCTCACATGTATATGTACATAAATTCACATATCCATATATATACTCCTGTGATCACCATGTATAGATGAAAATGCCGAAGAAGCAAGGTTATATACAATATGCAGCAAGCCCCCCTCCCGGATTATTTCCCGAATTTGTGGATTCGCCCCCTGTTGCATCATAATGTAATGCAGAAATATCTAATGATTTTTAATATAGAGAAGATTTTCACTATATATTGATCCATTCCTATCTTAAAATATAATGAATACAAACATCCTTGATAAAGAAAGCATATGAAAAAATTATTTATGGCAGAAAAACATCCCTGGAATGTTTTCCATCAAGGCTCCTGTTCCTTCTTTTTCTCTTTGAACGATGTAAAAAAATTAACCGCACTTACAAAACAAACATTGCAGGATATTTGAACCTGCAGCGCAAAATGGAACACATCTCAAATATTGAATTCTGCATTTATCCTTTGTTTCTTTGGGTACTGATCCGGCTATGTGTCTTCTATCTCTTTCTTGGCCGCCTGTTTCTATCTATCACCCATTGTAATAGTTATTGATGTCCCTTATACGCCCCTATTCCTTAAGACTGTTAAATTATTTATATTTATGAACGTATAATTGTTACATTAGAATAAACATGGGGTATCATCCGATGCATATCCCATACTCCTTTAGTCCTGTATGTCCTTATTAAGACGTTGTCTATAATCTTCTAACGATTTAGCAATTATAGCAGTGAAATAGAATAAACATCCTGAACATCCTTTATTTTTGCAGAATCTGATTAAATATATGTTAGGTGACTGTTTTTACGAGGAATTATAAGTTGTATTTGTTTCATATTCCTGCCATTAGGATAAATTAAAAATTTCACTCCTATACTGTCTCATTCTCTAACTAAAATTTTCCCGATATGATTCACCCTAATTCGGGTACTCACGTAGAAGCCAGAATAGACCTCTTATTTATTGTTATGTAACAAGCACTTATAGTTCACACGCAGAGGGGGTATGCCTGTCCTTTCTTCCAGTCCATGTTCGCGCTCCTTACGTGAATGTAAACCCAATCGTATCCAGCTGTCTCCCGTTTCTCGTCGTCTTCCCTTTATTCCAGAGTAGAACTAAAGAATTATTGAATAAAACCTTAGGTTTCCTATATATAATTGGTGTAGGCTCCCCTGCAATAACTTAATTTAGGACATATAATCGATATAAAAATTGTAGCACCCTAACGGCATGAATGTACTCACACGTTATTCTCCTCATTTCTACGTGTTGATATTTGTGATGGTACCATTCGGTACATAAAATTCTTTAAGCTTATCTTCCTGTAATTATAAATGACGAAAAAAAAACAAAAAAAAAGAGATAGAGGAGCCGTATGGTACATGTAGGAATGAGAACATAAGCATAAGCGCCCCCAGGAGAAATAATGCTTCCCTTTTTATATTATCCAAAAGAAAGAATTCATAACTATAACTTATTTGACTTCATCATTGCGTTTTGTAAACTTACGATGATGTGTAAGCGCGCGTCTGAAGAATTTTACCAACACTCATCCTTTAAAGATTCAACGTTTTAATCATATACACTCCGCATTACATTATGAGCGTATATTCGGAATATGAATGCTTTTTGTAATGGAAACTTGCGCATCATTTTATTATTTCCCCCCAAGAAATACAATTTTAAATCCTTCTTAAATACTCTTAAAAAATAGGTGTGAAATTTTATTCTTCTCAGGCTAAAAAAAATGATATCACGCCCTATTGTGCACAAACAAAATTTCATAATATACGCTATATGAGTTTCTCTCAGCCTTACAAAATTTCCATAAGATAATACTTATATGACGATCGCGTCAAGATCATTAAGA